TATTTGTATTTGTATTTGTATATACAGTTTTCTCTCGCTTTATTCAAACACAATTTATACATTTGTGTTTGTATAAAGTGAGAGAGGCGAGCGAGATCAGGGAGAGTGGTGAGCGAGATTTCTGGGGAGAGAGGCGAATGACAAAGTGTTTGCTACGAATTCGAATTAAATGAAACTGTGGACTGTGGTTATAACTTTTAATGTGAATTAATAGTTTGTTATTTTATACAATTTTCCCTAAAAAAAATGGAGCATCTGTGATAAATTTTAGAAGAAAATTAGTGAAACATACAAATTTGACCATCAAAATAATAAATTTAAATTAGTCATTGAAACAAAAAAATAAAAAAAAATAGCATGAGAAGGATCAAATATACCCCATATGAATTGTATTTCTTTTCAAAAAAATAAATTAAATAATTAAATTAACATTATTTTTTTCACTTCCGTAAAAAGAAAAGGGTGTATATGAGCCATTTGTATAACATTATGGATATATATGAGTCACTTTCATAACGAGAGATATATCTAACCTTAAAATAGTGGTTAGGATTGTTAGGCCCGGCCAAGTTTGGTCCCTTCATATGGTTGGTTTAATTTGTGAGGACACAAAATTGTCTATCTGGTGAAAATACTCACTAGGTCAATGGGGAAGTCCACAGCCACTTGAAACTTACGTAAGATACACGAGAGGAATTGCTTCATCTCAACTTTCTCTCTGGTTGTTATTCAATTTAAACTTCAGATATTTTATTAGCAAAGTTGTAGTTTATTTGCAATCATACTAATCTTTACAAACTTTTATATTTTCTTGAATTGAGAAAAAATTTCATTTTTTCTAGAATAACCGTTTTCTATAATAGAGTAATATTTCATCATAATAATTAAGTTTTCTTTGTCCTCTGAGATTTCAAGTACATTAAAGTTAAGGATTAAAAACACATTTAAACTATCTCACTTTTTGAGGTTCCTACGTGAACTATTGAGTGAGTTTCCTACCTAAACTATCACCATGGTTAGTGAAACACACCTACATGTTGATTAGACAAATGTTTATCAAGGAATGCTTCTAGGAGCGTTTATCCACACAATCTTCGTCTACTTGATATATATAACGACTTTATTTGCTGACACATTATTTTAAAAAAAATATATTTTTGATTGACGTCCTAAAAACACTAAACTCTCTTTTCAAGTTGGAGATATCAATGTTACGGTAAAGAAAGTGGAGAAGAAGATGATGAATGTAGCAATTGGAATAAACTAATTTTACGGTGATAATTTTAACCTTTAACCTTAACTTTTTAATTTAATATTAATTTATTTAAATTTATCGCAGTAAAATTATTTTTCCACGCAGAGTGTTACGTTACATAATTTTTAAACAAACGAGAAAATGTACACACATCATCAAAAAATAGTCATGAAGATATGTTTCTCTAACTATTACAGATAAATTCACATTTTCAATATATAATTGTAAAAAACAGGTACATTATTTTAACTTAGGGCCCGTTTGGCCATGCGATATGATATCATGATATGAAATCATGATATGGTATCATGATATGGAATCATGATATGGTATCATGATATGGAATCATGAGATGAAATTGAAGGTTTGTTTGGACATGCGATATGGAATTTTTGTGTTGTATATTTTCTCATAAACATAAAAATCTCATAAGTTGTAAAACTATTAAAATAACTCCAATTGTTTATTCAATCTTATCAAATAAACAAAAATTATGAAATCGCATAATAAATGATTACAAAGTTATTTGTTCTTCAGTTAAATAATTGTTTCATCTAACTTTAATTTAATTAAAAAAAATTGAACATAAATTGTACTTGATATGTTCATATCTCTCAACTACTCTTACAAATAACCTATAAAGTAGAAAAAAAACATACATTAGTGAGTAAATATTAACTTAGAAGTTAAATGCACTAAGATAAAAATTAACAAACATCACTAACTTCTAACTATTTACAAGAAAAATCAATAGTTAAATATTATTGAATAACGAAATTTTAAAAAGTTACCACAAGTTTGATTCAAAAACACTTCTAATAAAATTTAATCAAAAAAATTATAACTAGTCCACTTGACTAAATATTAATAACTAATTGATCAAATTTTCCTAAGTCCTCAATCAATTGGACTTGATATCCTTCAATCATGTGAACGAACATTTTGCAAATACTAAGATTAAGAAAGTGCGGCACCGCCAATGAAAATTGTCTTTTATCAATATTATGCTTAGTCATAAGATTAAGACGTTTTTTTTTATTATGAAAAATAAAAAAAGTATTACTCCCTTTGTTCTCATTTGTATTCACCAAATGAATTTCTACTTTATCATTTATATTCACCAAATTTAAAGTGATAATAAATTTTATATTGGTGAGAATAATAAATTTTAAAAAGTAATGATGTCATTATAAATTTTATTTACATATGAAACAAATGGTTAGTAGATATAAATGTGGGGTTGTTTTAACAAAATATAAACTCATGGATCAATTATTGTATTAAAATATCTCAAATCATGATATGAAATCACATGGTGATTCCATATCATGGTTTTTGGAGAATATGATATCACCTCTCATGATATGAAATCGTGAGATGAAATCAGCGTAAAATCGCATGTCCAAACGCTGATTTCATCTCACAACATCATATCGTGATATGATATCGCATGACCAAACGCCTACTTAATGAATTCATCAACATTTATTTATACATAGAGAGGTGTGCGAGGAACATGGATTATGCAGTTATGCTTGTTTAATAAGCGAAGGTCAAACAACGAAACCCATTTTGGAATCTACATTGATTGTTAACTAATCTATGCTCTCTACCAAGGTTTTCCTTTTTTTTTTCCAATAACAAATACTCCCTCCGTTCAATAATAATTGCACACTATTAACTTGACACACCTTTTAAGAAAAAATAAATAATAAAGTAATTTTATTATATTACCCTTTGACTATAATAAATGCAATATCTTGGAAACGACTATCATTAATGATAAGTGTAAATTAGGACCTAAGTATAAAATAATCAATTAATTTCATAAAGTGGACAAATATTGCTGGACATTCTAAAATAATATAGTGAATAATTATTGTTAGACGGAGTGAGTACAATTTTCTTTTCCTGGGTACCTATTCTTTCTTGACCAATTGCAACATGAATTTGCGTGTACAAACACGTGAATTGTGCCTTTTGTTATGATTGTTTAACCAAGTTTCGAATATGATACGACGCATTTAATTGGTATAGCAGAAAAAACTAGATTAGATATGTCTTCTATAGTTAAAAAAAAAAAAAAATTTAACTCTGGTGTCAAATTTTTTTTTATAGTACTTGACTTTAGAAAATGCCATATGCACCTGTACATATTATTTCTGTTCAAAATTTTAATGTGAACACATGCATAGGTGATTATTTCTAAGACAATTGGAATTCACTGTAATATATTTTTGGATCAGTATTAAGACCCACTTTCTTCCAATTTATTAACCAAGATGCTTTATGCCCATAATAAATAAAAAACTGGATTTAAATTTTAAGAATGGAAATCTTTAGGTTAAGAAATACTTTCAATGCATTTGTATGAATTTGAATTAATCACAATCCAAATAAATATCAAACATCGAATAAAAAAAAATATACAACGAGTTCCTTCTCATAATTGAACACTTATGTGAGAATAATATAAAGATTCTTTATAGAAAATTTCCATTGGTTGCTTGGATAAGACTCATCTTCACAAGATTTAAAAGCTATGCGGCCAAGCCTGTGTTGCCATATACTACTAACTTTTTTTAAATCACTAGACCAATTTAAATAAGTAATCTTCGTTTTACATTGGGTCTCTCAATTAATCTTTATGAAAGTATTTTGGATCACTACCTAAAGTGAATTTGTTTAACCACAAATGGCGTGGTTGAGTGGTTGGGAGGTGGGTCTCTTATTTGGGAGACTAGGTTCGAATTTAGCCTCCATCTGTTATTCAGCTATGAACTCGTCATATGGAATGTGCCTAATATGATTTACATCTCTTGTATAGTTTACAAGCTATTTCACAAAGTGATTGAAATATCAATGTCATAATCAAAATATTCTTAAAAAAAAAATTGAAATATCAATCTAGCTCATAGACATTACAAATTAATTAATCTCATTATGTACCATAATTTTATGAAAAAATCAATTTTCAACCAAACCAAGCATGATGTGGAATTAACAAACAATATACTATATATCTCATTGCAATATTAAGAGGGAGATAAAGATGAAAACATTGCATGACCAAGGTCTTCTTTTACCATCCTTTTTGTTTAATTCTTTTACAGTGTACATGAACAATATCATTCATAGGAAACTTCCACATGCCCTTCCAATCTTTGCATGTGCAGCATTTAAGAACTTGTCTTCCCTAGTTAAGACTTCTATAGCTAGATTCTTGTTTTAATGAAGATTAATTCAAACCCTAATTTTAAGGACACACATTAGGTCAGAATTGGTGGAGTAATATACTATAATCCTATGTATATAAACAAAACAAATTATAAAGACTATGACTCTTTGACCCCATTATCTATTAGATCAGTTTGAACACACCTCGACAATTATATTAAATATTTGTTATCTCCAACCAGCTATATCTAGATATTGTATATCTTTTTTTGTCTGTTTTGGAAGTTTAAAATGCTTATTTTTTTCAGTTTGATCAAGATTTTAGGAAGAAATAAGTGTTTTTGAATAGTTTCAAAAATTGTTTTTTCAGAGCGTATTTTTTTTAGAAATACATTTGGAATCTTAATCAAGCACAAATTGATGCTATAATATTTTAAAAAATAAACTATTCTTAAAACTCACTTCATACTATAAAAATTATACAAAAAAAATAATAAATAAATAATCGAATTTAGAATCTTATAATTGTCCCGCTATAAATTCATGCCTCTTACTTCCCTTTACACACACAACTAGCTAAACTCAGTTGAGGAAAATTTAGCAACAATGGCAAAGGCCCTTGTTCTTTTTCAAGTTTCAGTTTTCTTACTTAGCTCATTCACAATTGTTAGCCATGCTCAAGATGAGTGGTACTCATTAGACAAAAATGTTGACCACCTTGCACCAGCTCAAGCCCCTAAGCCACACCACCACCACCACCACCACCCCCACCCCCACCCCCACCCCCTCCCCATAATTTCCCCATCCCCTTCACCAATTTACTATCCAACAAAGCCACCAACTAAAGCTCCAACTAAGCCACCAACTAAAGCTCCATGTAAGCCACCAACACCATCACCTTATTATCCTTCTAGGAAACCTGTAGCTGTAAGAGGACTTGTTTACTGCAAACCTTGCAAGTTTAGAGGGATTAATACTCTTTACCAAGCTAAACCACTTCAGGGTAATTTCTTCAATATCGTTTTTCCTTTTTTTTTACTACATTAAAACTCATCTCATAAATAACTCAACTTTCAATCAAATGCACCATTTAGTCTTCTGATAACATGAGCATCAACATATAATACAAATTTTAGAAAATATATTTATACATAAAATATCTAATTTTACAAAGCGACCATGTATTCACATGCCCCAATTTTCACATTGGTAGTAGTGATGTACATAATTTTTCACCTTATATTTATGGTCTTACTCTTGAACTTTTGTGGTTGAATTAGACGTAAAACTTTTTTTTTTTTAATCATGGAATTAGAATCTATACATCCAAATTCACGATTTACTGAATTTTGGATGCCATCTTATATTATCCATGATTCAGATGTCCAATCGATCTTGAGACTTGAGTAGCCGTTGAGTTTCCACATTGGTAAAGATGTACATTATTTACCTCCTTATGTGATTTTAATTAGCAATCCTCACCTTATGAACTAACTTACGCTTATATAATTGGCTAAATTAAATATAGTTATCTTTTAAATGAACTCGATGCTTATCGATTGTACATTATGATGTTGCAGGAGCCAAGGTGAAGCTAGTGTGCTACAACACCAAAAAGACATTAGTAGAACAGGCTGAAACAGACGAGAATGGATTCTTCTGGATCCTTCCTAAACTCTTAAGCTCAGGAGCCTACCACAAATGCAAAGTGTTTTTAGTATCATCAAACAATTCTTACTGTAATGTCCCAACAAATTACAATGACGGCAAATCTGGTGCACTATTGAAGTACACCCCACCAGCTCCAGCTACTCATCTCCCTATTAAACCACCCACCCCTAAATATGATTTCTTTACTGTTGGACCTTTTGGATTTGAACCCTCAAAGAAAGTGCCTTGCAAGAAGTACTGATTAACTTGGAAAATTAGAAATTAAGATAGGAAGGGATGATGAATGTTTAAGGAGTTAATCTAAGTGTTCGAGAAAGAAAAAATTAAAGATTGTGTCCTTGTTATTTCCATTAATAAATGATCATGTATGAGGAAAGAAGAATGTAGTTTAATTTTCTTGTTTTTTCAATTTCGTTTATGTAATGTTTAAAGCCCAAACAAGTGAAAGGGATTTATAAAGTGTTTGTCTTCTATGTTTGTGCCTTTTTCTAACATAGTAGTATGGGCTTATGGTTTTGTGTGACTGGTTTCACCCACCGCACACCTAACACCTTCATGGATTGTCATATACTCCCGTTTTAATTTTGGAGTAACTTTCACAAATAGCCACTAAAATAGTTTTAATTATGTTCCATAGGTATAGTTTACTAATTACGATTCGTAGCTACATGTTAGAGGGAGAAAAAAGCGAACGAGATTGGGAGAGGAAGGAGAGAGGGCAGAGAGTGGAGAGATGCGAGTTATATATGTACATCGGTTAGATAATTGTATATATATAACTAGTATGTATATGTATCAATGATTGTATTTGTATATCTGCATACAATTTGCATCCATATATAATTGAATCGAGTTCAAACATTTGTATTTGTATATCAAGTCTCTCTCACTTTATACAAACACAAATTATATATACATTTGTATTTGTAAAATTTGTGTTTGTATAGAGAGAGAGAGAGGGGAAGACAAAAGAGAAATGGGCAGGGATAAATTTGTATTTATATTTGTGTATCTCGTCTCTCTCGCTTTATACGAACACAATAACAAATTATACGTTATGCTTGTATAATTTGTGTTTGTATAAAGTGAGAGAGAGATTGACATAAGAGAATCAAGAGAGAGACTGGGCAGGGAGAGGAGAGAAGCGAGGGAGAGATGATTGAAAAAGAGGAAGGAGGCGAGTGAGATTCCAGAGAGAGGCGAGAGAGAGGAAGAAGGGCGAAAGGTGAGAGAGAGGAGTGTAATTATAACTAGAAGTAAGTTCCGAATTGTAATTAGTGCAAACTGTAGCTATGATAGTTAATTAACTAGTATATGTTTGTTTAACCACATAATTTTCCCTTTAATTTTTGCGATTATCGCTTAACTTGAAACTATTTTATTCTTCTTTTTAAAAACTTTGTAATTTTGTGATTTAAAACAGTTATTTTTAATGTGTGATTATAAATAATTTCATTTAGAATAAAAGAGAAAATTTAAAGTTAAAAGTTATTCCTAAATTTAAAAATATAAACAATTTTTTACATTGACTAAAGAAAAAGGTGTCAAGTAAATCAGAACAGAAGAAGAATATGTTATAAGGCAGCTTGGACAGTATTTTGTTAAAGTTAAAAAAAGAGAGAGGAGGTATTTACGTTGTAATTGAAAAAGAATATTTTGTATATGAATATAGTATTATAGTATATATGAAAACTTATCTCAAAGATTTAAATCTAATACTTGCGGATTACTAAATATATATTCAAAATTATTGAAATAAAATAATTTTAAAAAATCATAAACAAACAACTGAAAATATCATAATTTCTAAAATTTTCTACTATTTTTTTTTTTACAAAAATCCCCTCTTTGATATATTTCTATCCCTTCTTGGATATATCTCTCCCATTAAGTAAAATAATGTATTATTTGCAATGTATCAGACAATCAAAGAATATATCAGAGAGCAATGAAAAATTTAAAATTTTTGTATTTGAAAAAACTTTCGAAATAAAATGAAATTAACCCCCAAATATATGAGATTTCTGTACTTTTTCCAATAGTAATTTTCAATGAAATGATAGGCTTCGACACTTTCCGAGCTACGAATTTTCATTTGGAGCTACAAATAGGCCCAAACTCATTAAACACTTTTGGATTCGGTTTTTGGATCCAGTCCTTAATGGGTTATAGAGTTGTCAATATAGGCTGACCCACCCCATCTGGGCTAGCCCATACAGGCTTTGAAATTTGACGGGTCAGGCCATGCTAGCCCATTTTTGGTGTGGGCCAGAAAATGGTCGACCAAGCCACAAGTACGTGGGCAACGGGCTTGTCGGGCCAGCCCTCTTTACGTAAAAATATATTTTTTATAATTTTTTTAATTAAATTATAATTTAAAAATATTATCATAAATATCGACAAGATAATATTACATGATGTTAGTGTTACTACTTGTTAATCAAATCCACAAATAAAATTATCATTATAATATTTATTAAGTTTGATTTCAAGTAAAAGCATAAATAGCTAAATAAAAATATAAACCAAATTATTTTTCAATGATCATAATAAAACATAAAAAATTATGACAATATTCCATAGGCTATGGCCTATGTAGTGATTCCTAGAAATTTTAGGGAATTTTTATTTTACGTAATATGTATTTTATAAACATAATTTGTATTTAAATTGTAATATTTCAAACTTTAAACTGATTTTGAGTTTAGACTCTTGTTATTTTTAATACTCTATTTTATTTTTTATTTTTTAATTAATTTTATTTGGCCCACAGGCAGGCCCTATCCATATTTCTCAAGCCCCACAAATCGGCAGACTTATTCAGGCTGTGCTAAAAAGCCATTTTCTTAAATGGACTCCAAAAATTGTAGCCCAGCCCTATCAAATCCCGGGTTAGGTCAGGCCGGCCCAACGCGCCTAGCCCATATTGACGACTCTAATGGGTTATCATTAAGTTGATATAATTAATTAAATTGTATATCATACTTGCTTGAGGGATATAATAAAAAAACAGAATGACTTGGGAGACCCTTATACTTGGCTCGAATTGTCAACTGGACTCTTTTACTCACGATATTGCCAACTGAACACTTAAATTCAATGAAACACGATCTTTTAAACCCTTTTGACTTCACGTGCACTTCAAACACACAATGAAAATGACATGCCATGATCCACATTAGACTTTTAGTGACACGTCACTTATTTTTACTTTATTTTAAGAAATTTAATTTTTTTTCTTTTCACTTATTTTTTTACTTTGTTTACAATTTTCATTTTTTCTTTTTCACTCCGTTTCTTCCTCACACTAACTTTTTCCTTGACCATCTCCCTCCATTTTTTCACCAAAGACACCATTGCCATCTTACATCCTTATTCCTTACTGGTTATCACTACCTTAAATAACTAAAAAATTTTATTGTTCTCCAATTTTTCATCGTTCATAATTTTTCTCCATTTTTTTTACCAAGGTCTTCATCCACCACTTGAACCATTGTGAATTTGTTTCCTCCATTAATGCCAATGAACCACACTAAAATATCTTAATATGTTCTAATATATATATATGTTCCACTTAATTTTACAAAGACATACAATAATCATTCTTCACTCTCCAAATAAGCAGATCTCTATCACCTAGCCGCCTGTAAATTACCCCTCCCCAATCCCCCAATAGCTTCTCTTTATATATTTTTACCACAAAAACTGAAGCAACTACTTCTAGAAAAGGATTTCTGAAATACTTTTTGCAAACATATTAAAGATTGTAAAATTGGGGAAACGGAGCACTAAAGAAAAATGGGGACTAGGTGGAGGGAAGAACGATAGTGGTGTTGGGTAATGGGGAAAAGAAAATTTGTCTTTTTATTTATTTTTTCTTTTCTTTTAATTGGATTTAGTCTCAATTTTTTTTTGTTTACACTCCTTTAACGCGTGAGATCACACGTTTGTTCCACCTCAACTATTAAGTTGCCACATAGAATTGGTCAATGGTCAAAGGGGTTTAAAATATTGTTTTTGAAACGACCCCAAAAATGCCCGAAAATGTGCTTCGGAAACACCTATAATTGTAATTTCCATATATCTCAAAATCCGTGCATGATTTCGGAAATTCAACTTCATATTCTTATTCAGGGGGTCAAATTTGAGTGGGAAATGGGTCTAACCCGAATTTTAGAACAACCGTATCAAATTTCGAAAATCGCAAAAAATGCGATTTTCAGGGTCAACTTTAAAGAGGCATATCTCTTAGCACACAAGGAACTAGAAGGGCCATTACCTATTAAATTAAAGCCCTTCGAGTTATCTTTCCAATGCAACTGGTTTCACCTCATTCCGAGTTAGGATGAAGGAGTTATGATCATTTTCGTAAAACCTGTCGGAGCAGAATTTCAATTTCCAGTAGCTAAAGTTACTGTAGCGGCTGGACGTTTTTCTTTTATAAAAAAAGAGAATTGTCCCATACTTAGTTATATTTCTTTCTAACTTCAAAACACTCAAAAACACTCACTAAACCCTCTCCAAAATTCCACCAAGATCCTCAACCAAATTCAAACATCTCAAGTTCTAATTCCGGATTCAAGACTCAATCTCAAGCTTCAATTCTCCATTCCAATCTTCATCAAGGATTCTCCAAAGTTGAGGTATGTGGGTTGATTGTGGAAACCTTCCTTTCCACAAGTCCAACCATTTATCCTCTATTTTACTTCAAGTTTATGGGTCCTTATGATCATTTATGAACTCTTGAATTATGGAATTACTACTACACATTCTATTATGGTCTATTTTTGCATATTATCATGAAATGAAATTATTATGTGATGTTATGGTTTTCATGCTTCCATGATCAAATTATGAAGGTTGATATATATATGTATGTTGTTGGTGGGCTGATTTATATGTATTTCGGAATTGGTTGGACTTAGTACTCTTGAAAGACATGATTTTTATCTACATGAACAATAGCCCACCATGTGTTTGATAAAATGCCATTTATAGAATTCATAGGAAATGGAAGGTCCAATGTACATCCTATGAGTCGGATGATTATATAATTATTGAAATGATGATGAAAGGGATACATGTATATGATTTTCTCAATATAGTGTTGTGAGTCGACCAAGCCTAGTACGGGGGGTAGTAGGCCCGTATAACTGTATCGAGGGGTTGGTACCTTGGTTGCCTAGTACGGGGGGGTAGTAGGCCCGTATAACCATATCGAGGGGTTTGTACCTTGGTCCCTAGCTCGGGGGGTGGTAGGCCCGGGTAACCACATTGAGGGGTTTGTACCTCTTTCGCCTCTCCAAGGGGGTGGTAGGCCTTGGAAATACTATATTGATGGTCACTCACCACACATGTACTACGTCCCACTAAATATGATTTTTATGTAAGCGTCATTATATATATCATTTCATTTATGTGCTATCTATCGGGTATGATTATGCATTTTTCCTATGATGTCCAGCTATTGTGGCATTGCATTGCATCCCATATACTTAGTACATTCAAACGTACTAATGCATACTCTATGCCTACATGATGTCACCATGTAGGGACCGGAGCACCGCTTAACCATCCTCCTCCGCGTGGCTAATACGATTTCCTATCAAGGTTATTGGTGAGTCCTCCATTCCGGGGACGTTGCTCATGATCTTTTGCTATGTATAAGACTTTTTTTCTTTTTAGTTATGTTTTGACTATGAGGGTGAGCCCAGTGGTTTGTCTTGGCCCCCGCTAAGTACTCATGTTTAGAGGTGGTGTTGGACAAGTTGTGTATTATGCTTGAGCTTGACTCATCTATGGTATTTATGTATCATTTCTTCTTCTTTTTTTTCTTGCTCCCTTAGTCCCGATTTCCCCCTTTGATTATGCTTATCGCTTATGGTCATTTTAATTGCTTCCGCGACCAAGGATGTGTAATGATATGCTATGATGCTTGTTTGGGGTTCCTTCGGGTTCCCCATTCGCCGGTCACGTCTAGGCCCTAGGCTTGGGTCGTGACAGTTTTTCATTGAGTTTAAGTGTTCAATTGGCAAAGTCATGAGTAGAAGGGTCTAGTTGACAATCTGAGCCAAGTATAAAGGTCTCCAAGGTCATTCCGCCTAATAAAAATATACATGAGGAACGGATATTAATTGGATTTAACTTTGGCTTAAATCATACACCACCCTCTAAAGTTGTCCACATAATTCACTTAAACACTTTAACTAGGACTTGTACCTATCGAACACCTTGACTATCTGAATTTGAACCAATTAGACACTTTCTGCATATGTGGCACGAAAAGTGGGATTCACGCCATATTGGGCGCGTGAATCATTTAATCAAACACATTTTCAACCTTTTTTTTCTTAAAAATCTTTTCCAATTTCCTCTCCTTCAAAATTGCACGACCCCTGCTGCTCCTATTTCTTCATAACAATCCACCATCAATATTTTTTTACAAATTTACTTCTTCTAAGTTTATACTTAAATTTGATAAAAATTCCAACAATGAAGGCAACAAGAAATTCATACTTCACTTTATTTCTTACATTTCAAGCCCTAATCTGTTGTTTATCATATTTTTATCTCTTTAATAGTAATTTTATTGGAGCAGATAAACCCTAGCTTTGTTGTACACAAGGACACCTCTTCATTTTTTTTAACCCTCTTGTCAATTGTCACTGTATTAATTTTTCAGATTTAGAATTATATTCTGCTGTCATTTTCGTCGGAAGAAATGAAAACTACCATCCACATTTTTTTGCTAGAAAACACGAAGACTACCATCCACATCTCCTTTACCAGAAATAATGGAGACCATATACACCACCCCTGATCCACACCCTTTCTTCCTCCACAACAAAGCAGAATCAAAATTCGAAATCAAAATTAAAAAAGGAAGAACAAATTTTTTAAAGAAAAAACAGCATCAATTTAAAATAGGAATAAAAAATACGGCATAAAGAGAAACAAAAATGGTGAATTCATACTTAGTACTTGTTAAAATCTCCGATTTTTTTCCCCAAGATGAATAATAACAATGGTGGACAAGGGATATCTTTTAGGGAAAGAAAAGAAGGGGGAGGTTTGGGGTGGGTGGGGGTGGTTTAAGTAGATTTTTCTTCTTTTTTTTTAGTTGAAACTTTTTTTATTTTTAGATTTAGATTTTTTTATATTTAAATTTCATTTATTTAAAATAATTAAATTAAAATGCCACATGTCTTCGTTTAATTTGTTATTTTGTCATATCAGCCACATGTGCATTACACGCAATTCATTTTTTAACTAGGTGTCAGAAAAATGTTTGATAGGTATTTATTTTTTAAGATTGAAGTGTCTAATAGGAAAATGGATGTGTTGATGTGTCTAAGTGAAATATGCGGACAATTTTAAGGGACTGTCAATGACTTTAGCCTTTAACTTTATTAGTTGACCAACTTCTTCATTGATGATCACATACCCATACTAAAACTGTTTGTTGCAGTCTTACCAACAAGTCATACCAACTTGTATTTTGCATGACTATTTTCGATAAAAGGAAAATTTCAACTCCACTAACTTTTACCCATATTATTTGGAAATTATTCTAAAATAAGGGAAGCTTGTACAACTTAAACATTTTCTTGATCAATTTAATTAGGTATAAACTATAGTACTATTTGTTAGAGTATTTTTAAGTTGAAATTGAAAAGAAGTATTTAATTTTTTGTATTTGGATATAATTACTTCACTGATCGAAAATATACAGTATTATACATGAAAGTTTGAAATCGTCTATGAGCGGATATATATACTTAATGAAATTAGTATCACAATGTTTCTAAGTACCTCAAAGTCAAAATATAATACTTGCAAATACGGATGGCTAAATATACTCTAGAATCCTAGTTTTTTTTTCTTCAAAAAAGTGGAAATTCATGAGATTTGATTAAAATTCATATCTTTATCATCATTAATTAGTAGAAATTGAGGTATGTCTCTTGTTTTGTTTTTTTAACTATTTTTTATTTTAAAGACAATTTGAACTAGGATTTTATACGCGCGCGTATGGGACAATCTCGCATCAAGCCTGCGTAATTTCATTTCACATGATAAAATGAACGTGTTTTAACGATGAACTGGACTTCTAAATCAATTGATGACATTGAAACCCTATTAAGTGAATATGATTTGAAGTTTTGAACAATAAAGGGTTGGATATTATGCGATAATTTTTCTTGTTTTGTGTTGTGCCTTGTTATTCAACAAAGCCTTGTTTGGGCTTGAATTAATGGGTTGGGCCTACATATATCCCCAAATCCATTGAACTCTTTCGGCTTTAGCAGGCCCAAAATCAGTATTTGATTCGAAACGCAAATTAATATTATTGCTCTAGTTGATAAATATATTTTAATATAGTATATCTAATGTAAGTTTCCCAATTAATATTGCACAAACAAGGGAAATTTTATGGGTTTAATTTCATAAACCTCAACTTTAGTTCATGGCACGTAATTCCATTTTTTCATCAAATCTTGTTGGAATTTTTCCATTCTAGTGTTGGTTGGGTTTCTTTTTAATTCTGACACAATTTATAGTGAGTAATCACGAGTGCCTTATATACGGTATTCCTTCTGTTTCAATTTATACGTGGCACCGTGACACGTGACACATTTATTTTTAGTCCGTTGTCACCTTTCTATAAACTAAAAAATTTTACTTCAAAATTTCACTTTATCCTTAATGAAGTGATTTATAGTTACAACTTACACAAATGGTCTAAGAGTATTTTAGATCATAAATTTTCAAAGTCTTTATTTTTTAAATTTTATATTAAATTAAATGATGTAACATAAATTGAGACGAATAGAGTATATATATGGGTTCAACTTTTTTCATTGGTGATGGCAGAGATCACATCTCCTTACTAAAACAATTTGCAGTCTTACCAACAAGTCATACCAACTTATATTTTGTACTATGACTAGTTTCAATAAAAGGAAATTTCAAATCCACTAACTTTTGGTGACGTGGTCAGAGAGTTTATTAACTTTTACCCACATAATTTGGAAATTATGCTAAATTAAGGGAAGCTTGTAGAACTTAAATATTTTCTTGATCAGTTTAATTAAGTATAAACTATATTAGTTTTTCTAATTATTGATAAAATTTCACATCTCAGTAATAGATATGCAATTAGATTGAACAGAAAGTGAATAGGGATGTGAGCATTTTTTGATTGGTTGAGGCCCTTCGTCCTTCACCGATGAAAGACTTAATCCCATTCATTTCCCCCTAAAAAAGAAAAAGAAAAGTAAAAGAAAGTGAACTAATGAATTTTTCTTCAACTAATGCTACTACTTAAAAAAATATACTCCCTCCGTTTCAAAAAGAATGTCCTAGTTTGACTTGAAACGGAGTTTAAGAAAAGAAGACTTTTTAATCTTGTGGTTCTAAATTAAAATTATGTCAAAAAAGGAAAGTGTCATTCTTTTTGAAACAAACTAAAAAGGAAATGAGATTATTCTTTTTCAAACAGAGGAAGAGGGAGTATTATTTTTTACCCCTAAATCTTGATAAAACAATCCTCACCGTGGATTAGCAAATATTTAGAACGTGTGAACACATAGGTTTAAAGATAGTGTTTTAGTTGTTATAGTACTAATAAATATCTTAATGGAATATTTACTGATGAAGGCTCAAAATATTAATTTGATAATCTTGCAAATGAAATTCTATTTAGTTAGGGCAAACTCATTTGATAGTTGATCAGCCCCATTGTCCCAACTAAAATTTCATAAATGCTCTTTTTGCATGCATGGTCCTATAAATTTGGTCCCTTTTAATGTTATTTTACATACTCAACATAGAGATTTGAAAGAATTATAAAAACAAGTATTATGGCTATCATATCAGGGAAGTGGCTATTTGTAGTTTCAGTTTTAGTAGTTAGCTCATTCTTAGAGCTCACTAATGGAGATCAACTCACTGATGAATATTCATCTCATGATCCAACTCTTCATGAATCTTTAAGATTTAGGATTCCACATCGACATAGACATAGTCATCCCCCTAGTCCTCGGCCTAAGAGGCCACCACCTACTCCGCCAACTGAGGAGCCACCAGTGGAGGAGCCACCAACCCTTCCTCCACCAGTTGAGGAGCCACCAGTGCTTTCACCGTCAGGTGAGGACCAACCAATGCCTCCGCCACCAGGTGATGAGCCACCAGCGCTTCCACCATGTCGCTGTGACGCGCCGTCTCCATCACCATCACTAGTTGATGATCAGCCTTGAGATATGCTTATATATACTGGAAATTTAGTACTAATTAATATGTTTGAAAAATTAATATAAAGTTAAGTATCGAGTATTAATACAATAAATATAATGGTTCTAGATTTTAAATCTTCTAGTCTCTTTCCTGTCTTGGATTTATGACGAAATAACATTATACTATATGAAAACATATAAACAAATATAAGAATAATCGGACAAATAAATTATCTCTTAGAAATACTCTTCCTGAAATCAATATCACAATGTTTCAAAATTCAAAGTATATTTAAATCTAATACTTGCAAATACAGATGGCTAAATATATATTCAAAATTATTGAAATAAAATAATGAAAAAAAATACATAAATACACAACTTAAGATATCATAATTTTTAAAATTTTTCATCTCTTATAAAAATTACAAAAATCCCTCTCGGAATCATCTCCATACCTATCCCCCTTGAATACATCTCTCTCATTAAGTAATATATCATTTGTAATGTATCACATAATTAAGAAAGGTATCGAGATATTGAGAAAACTTTTGGAATAAAATATAATTAGCCTCTAAATATATAAGATTTCTGTGCATTTCCCAATTGTAGTTTTCTATGAAATGAGGCAGGTCAGGCTCCAACGGTACTTACCGAGTTTCGGATTTTCATTTGGAGCTACAAATAGGCACAAACTCATTAAACACTTATGGATTCGGATTTTTGGATCCAATCCTTAATGGTTTATCATTAAGCAGGTATAATTAATTAAATTGTATATCATACTTGCTTGAGGGATATACTATAAATATACACGAGGAACAGAATTTTTGACCAAAGTAAGCTATTTTTAAAACCAATTCACCTAACTAATACGTTTCTTAAGTTTTTTACAAAAGTAGTATAAACGTACTTCATAGTAACGTTTTAGGTTATTTTTATTTTAAAAATTCAAAGGACAAAAAGCTGACGGATCTGACAACGTTAAATGAATAAACGTTACTCATAATAACGTTTATTGAGAATCCAATCACATCCAATCCTGTAAATTCAGAATCAAATCCTGCAAATTTAAAACGTTACTATGAGTAACGTTTCTAAAGAATCCAATCACGGGCCTTTGACTCCTGCAAATTTAGAATCGAATCCTGCAAATTTAGCTATAAAACGTTACTCATAGTAACGTTTTACCTTAAAAACGTGACTGTTAGTTACAATATTCTGTTAAAGTCATATTTTTAAAGTGTAACAATTTAATAAGATAATTTTATTGTCAGTATACATAAATTATCTCTTACTGATAGAAGAAATAACCTTTTAGAGTATAAATTATCGCTTTTAAAACAAGCTTCTATATTTATAATTTTGCTAGAATTTAAATGTCGTATTAGATCGTTTAAATGTCGTAAATTTATTTACCGATATTTTATTTACATTTGAATCAAATGTCGCAAATTTGAGTGTCGTTAATTTTTTGACATTTAGGCAAATGTCATTAATAAATAAACGACATTTATTTACGACATATATAAAAATGTCACTTTAAATTTTTGACATTTAGAAAAATATCATTAATAAACAAATGACATTTATTTATGACATATATAAAATGTCACTTAATCTTTTTGACATTTAGGCAAGTGTTGGTAATTTTTTTTTATGGAATTTACATTAAATGTGGCCTTTATATAATGTCGTTTAAAATTTGATATTTTGGTCATCACTAAAATATAATGATGACATTTAAATTTCCTATCCACATCTAGTAAATGTGGAAATTTTTTAATGACATTTATTTAAAACTTTGTGATCAATTTCTATGAACATGAGATATATGCAAAAATAAATGCCTTTTTAGGTATTTTGAACAATTATTTTAGTAATAAATTAAATGAGTTGCTCTCGCAAGTGTAATTCAAATTTAAGTAAAAACAATATTTTCAACTCTAACTAGGTCAAGATCAATTCTAATTCCAATTAATTTTCTTAATTTTTGGAACAAGTTCTGTCAGCGAAGTTTGACAAATTGACCTCTTTACGAGCCAAGTATTTCATAGTCAGCAATTGATCTCACTTTGGAGAGACTGCACACGAAGTTCATGTAGAAGAAAAATCTATTATTTCATATTAAACAAAAAATAACACACACAGAGAAAAAATATTGAGAAGAACTTGAACAATTGTAAATACAGATTCATATGATTTAAAGATTCCAAACCGTCCACATCATAATCAATTTCTCCTTGACTTTAATTTCATCTTCATCAACGTCACTGCCATTAGTAATGGATGAATGAATTAACAAAACAAGAAGTCGGTGAGGGGTGTAGCGGCTGGAGAAGTATAAGAAGTGAGTGCTAGGTTTTGTGATATTTATTTGGCCTCTTGGCCCATTAATTAACATAATTTTTATTTTATCTCCTCTTTTTCACATTTTTTCATTTTTATGTACAATTACTAAATAATTGTAAATAAATGTAGTACTTAGCAACTATGGTCTATGACTAAACAAATAATTGGATATAAGAAAACAAAAATAATTATAATATATATGATCTTTACATTAAATAGAATAAAATAAAATAACTATTTTCATGAAAAAATGAAATATTAAAATAGAAATGTCAAAAGTATTATATATAGAACCCATTGTCGATAAGATTTAAATGTTGAGAAGTATTTTTAAGTGTTGAAGTTAATTTTATAAATAAACCGTTACGTTTTTTTAGTCTAGTAATTTTAATTGATTCCAAACTCATTAATTGTTATACATTATGTAATTACTATACTTATCATTCTATATTTTTTCTTGATTTAAATATAAATAAAGAGTGATGAAATTACTTAATAAGATTTAATTTTTTACGATTTTGTGTAAGTGTCAGTAATTAGAGACTAACAATGTAATATTTGAAATAAATGTCATAATATTTTCAACATTTGTATCAAATGTCACTGTTTTAATGATATTTTTTTCCAAATGTCGTTATTTTTACGACATTTGACACCAAATGTCGTTGCTCTATGGCATTTGTCACCAAATGATGATGTTTTTAAGACATTTGTATTAAATGTCGTTATTTGTATGACATTTTTTTCATAAATGTCGAAAAATTATAATTTTTTGACATTTGCTTCAAAAGTCACTAAATAAATGTCGTTGTATCTCCATTTTCTTGTAGTGAAAACAAAAGAAAGCAACAATCTTTAATTGCTTACTATGTCACATGAAGAAGAACCAACATAAAACTCATTTCATACACAATTTTATTTTGTTTCCCAATATCAAAAATCAATGAGAAACAGTGGATCTGACCAACAAAAAGAAAATCACCAGATGACTAAAAAAAAACCCCTTTCAACATCCACCGGTTCTACCAACCGCTTGCATGAGACTCTAAAATCAAATAAAAACAGAGATTTAGAAAAGGACTAGCAACCAAATAATAAGTCATACCAAATGCAGACAACAGCTCCAATCAACAATACCAATTACGTGTGGATATATGAATCATCACTGACCATATTTCTCCATTTAAATTTATCTCATGCCACCATATAAAGTAAATAAAAAATAAAAGATAATAGTTAAAAACTAAAAGACTCCTGGAAAACCAAGCTTTAAGAGAAAAATCAACTAAAAATATGGTTGTTTTTGCAGTCTCACAAAATAGTAAGCTTACTTGGAAGTCTTCGCCTTGTGATTTGTTATTTGCTTCTTCTTTTTGTTGCTACAATGTCTTTGTTACCTTTTGTTGTTTTCTTTATGCCGTGTTGGTTAAGTTGATGACTCCCTGGCAAGGAAAAATAATTTTTAATTATTTAACGAAAAAAGAAGCAGTAATGTTAAGAAATAATGGTTCACCAAAGCTAAAAAAATTTGTACCAATGCCACAAAACTTAGGAAAAATTGTACGTTTCTTCTTCGCTGATGGTTCACCACCTCTACTTGCATTCTCGGGATCATTACCATCCACTTCATTGTTGGAATCATCCAACTCATTACCTTCTATCTCGATGTTGGAGTTCTCTAAATTAGTCATGGCATCAGGGATCTCCATGGACATTGGCACATGCGATGAGGTAAAATTTGGGATATTCTCAAAATATTGAGGCCGATAATTACCAAAGACATTATCAAGTGACGAAAGACTTGAATCCCTTGAAATTTGTGGCGTCGTGTATGGGACAATCTCAGAATTTGTTAGTTGATATGTCATAACTGATGCCACAAGAGTGAATTCCTGAGTGTGACTCCTTGAAGTGGAACCAATATTACCAGTTGCTTGATAATCTTCTAAGGTTGCTTCGTCCATTTCAACAGGAACTCGTCCTCTCTCAGCAGCACGTGCCCTCCTACCAGCAACACCACCTTTTTCTCGCCTACGAATAGGGTGAGGTAAATGGTCAGCTTGTACGTCATCTCTTCTATAATCGGCTTGTACATTAATCCTATCAGCCTCGTGCATATATGTCAAACATCTTTCTCCTTCATTCCGCACCATTGCATGAAACATGTAAAAATCCTTCATTGATGGTTGATCACCAAGTGATTTTGCTTTATCAACCATCGAATGAATATAACGCACCTGCATATTATACATAATTCATTAAATATAATGTAGCTAAACTACTGCACACAACTAGTCTCTCTGTTAAGAATTGTTTCCTTTTAATTAGCTATTGTCTAGTGCACTATAATGTAGCTACTATAATGTATATCTAGCCGAAGTAGCAGGATATATATGATAATTATTTTCAGCATATCAGTAACATTACAATGGGTTGTTGCATTACATTAAATTCTGGACAAAGACTTAAAATATTAATTGCCAAACTACTCACACATATTTATATTCTAAGTCTTTCTGTTGCACGAAATGCTTATTCTAGGAGATGGCAGACAAATGCTAATGACATATAAAGCTTAATAGGCTATCGTTGGATCATAATAAGTCTCTTAGTACACAAATAAACAACTTGTAATCAGTTCAAACAAGCAAAAGAACATAAACTAATACTTG